GATGAAACAGAGACGATACCTGCAAATCAGGACCGCAATGTTTACTTTGAGTGTGCCTCACTAACTGGACAGCCTCAGGTGAGATTTTCCACAAGTGGTTCCAACCAATCGACTGGTCGAGAGTGAACAATGGAAGAAAATGACGCTGCAAATATCAAAACCATCAGCTAGACCGCTGGGTGGATAAAACTTGGTGAACTCGACTGAATCTGTAAGAATGGATTGTAAAACCTCAGTTTTCTGTTCCCATGTACCTCTCTCTAACAGGCATACCAAAACAAAAGTGAAGAGCTAATGGTGTCCACAAAACTTGAGGGAATGGCTTAACAACCCAATTCACTGACCCTCAGTTGTGACAGTCTCCGCGGAGCGTGCCTAAAAGACACGCTGGGGACACTTGCCGGCATGGCTAGAAGCGGACCTCAATGGCGTTCGTGCCGGGAATTTCTTTGTCACTCCCTATCCCTCGTAGCTTCCTGTTTCAACTACGATCTAGTATCTTAGCATGAGACAATTTTGCATAATAAATTTATTTATGCATAGTAGCCGGCTGATAGCTTTCCGGAACGATGCTCATCCGTTACTAGTAGCTCAGTTGGCACGCACCTGTTGCAAGTTTTTGTTTTATTTATTGCGGTACAATAGCTAAGTCGTTTTCCCCCTCTAGCTAACGTATATAATAATGATTATGATATCTAAAAGGAACATGTGACAATGAAGAGCGATTTGAATCATTAACAAGAATCAAGACCAGAAATGAGTACAGGGTTAAGATGTAAGTAGAGAACATCCCAGACAAACATAAGCATGTTTTAGGTGGGAAAGTTGATTAAAAAAAGCTCACCAGAGTTAAAGTGAAGTAGACTACGTGTTAAAAATAATGAAGATCAGAAAATGATTGCGCTGAAAAATTTAGCATAAACTATTTTAAGGAACATAGATGAAAGATACCAGGGAGCGTTGCTCCGAAGGAAGAGCTTTTCGTACGTTTATCATGTAAGGGCGATTCTGCTGCTGATATCCCATCTAGACGCTTGATACATGCTGTTGAGAAAAGTTATTTCGAGGCCCCCTTGAAAATCGCTTACCACAACAAGCCATTGCTTGCGAAACTCTTGAAATATAGACTGCCCTTGCTGACCCGTCCAACGTTCGTTTATCAGTACTCGTGCATCTGTGGGACACGATACGTGGGTTACATTACGAGACGCCTATCGCAGAGGATTCGAGAGCACCTCCCGGTAAGGTTTTACAAAGGTGAAGTGAGATGTTCAAGCATCTCAACCACGTCGCACCTCCTTGATTATGGCCATGCAGCTTCTGAGAAGGACTTCAAAGTCATCTACTAACTGCTTGAACGCTTATCGCAAGGATCCAGCAGTCAACTCGTGTTTATTTCTGAGGCCATTTACATCCATTATCCGCATTATCAGGCCGATGCTACTGCTATCTTGACTAACAGACACAGTTGCTTAGCTACCTGGTTGTTACCTTAGATAATTACTTCGAGCAACTTAGGTTCGTGCATTAATGTTCCTTTAGTTCATTTGGCTTACCTTCTAGTTCTGTGTTATCTATTAGATCATGCAAGCAACCAATAAGTCAATCACCAGCCCGATTTGGCACTTAGCACACATAATCAATACCATGTATACGTTTGAGTTTGACGGGAGTTTACCGAAAACAATGCTAATTCTAAACTAATTTCTGAACTTGATTCATGTCAATGAGATTGAAATGATATCGGAGGAAAGCAGTCCGAATAGTTGCCGACCTGTAGCTTTAAGGATCACAAGCCCGCCTTGCGATCTTGAGGGTGGGGGTTCGAGCTTGCGTAGGGCCAGAGCGCCCCTCGCAGTATCCTTAGCCCATGTGCGACTAGTGGTGGATGCGCGGCAATCAAACGTCAATACTGCGTACCGGCGTACTGCTGATGCCTTAGTTAGAGTGGCTGATCAGTCACATTCGTAATGAAAGTCTAGTTGAGTGAATCGCTCAGCTACCCTGGATTCAGTGAATAAAGATCGTAGGATATCATCTCAAAACGCGTACAAAAGCCATCATCTAAACGTCCACGTCAAGAGCTGTAGGAGTAGCCGAACAGACGCGAAGCAGTCGGGTGCTGTTAACCGTGCATCAACAAAACTGTCTGCAAACGAAATACTCGTATCCCGACTACAGAGGAAACATCATCCATGACGATTAAAATACAGGATAAGCCTGATATTCTGGAAAATGGTAAACAGGGTTTCACGTGAATTGTACTCAGACTGAAAACAAAATGTAAACCCGGATTGTTAGGTCGATTAACGTGAGCTCCCTAGCTGAATGAGTTATAAGGAATTCTGCTCAGTTCGCTGAAGAAGTTACTGTGTGTGGTTCATCAAAATCCAAATCATCCATGGAAACGGCGTGATATGAGGTAGCGCGGACAGCATTATCGTACAGTTCAGGGACACGGATTTCGCAAGTTGGATGTACCAAGTGAATGGTAATTTTCGACCACCAATGACCGAAAATCAATGATCGTCAGTAACAGGAACTCCGCGGCAAGTCACGTGGTCGTGAGAAAGAAACTGTGAAGCGCTGTGAGGCAGGAGTTCAGGCCTTCGGTTTGTAATATCTGTTCGGGCGATTATCACAGCCATTACACTGGTAATGGTGACCATGCTGCATAGTCATTGATTAGGCTTTGTTTTGATGTTCGAATCGCTACGGAACACTTGGAAGTCGTAAGAGAAAAACAAAAAGTGAACGTAATTGTTGGTACAGAGCGACATCGTAGACAGCAAAAGCACTTGAACCCTTTCAAACCATTTATTCCTATATTCCGTCAGCTATGCTCATTTGGAGACTCTCACGTTACCATGGAAGCTGAGAAGGGAATCAAGCCGAATTCCCGTCTTCACTTTTTCGGCCCCCATACTTTCTCTCTGTACCCGGCTATGCCTAAGTGGAGGAGGACAGGTAAGACAAATCTCCTATTCATTGCATCCACAGGTAGTTGGAATCTAACCACCTCTCAGGTTCCCATAGAATCTAATAACAAGAGAAACCGAACTGATCTCACATTCGTTAGATCTTATCCACAATCAGTCATTTATAGATTAAGGCCACAGAGAAAACAACAAACGAATCTGCTTCATACGATGTTACCGCTATACGAATTTAACACTATTAAATATAGAAAATTCAAAGGTACCTCAGGTCTGCTTTCGAATTCTTTCTCCTGCGGCTAATCTTCGCATCTTACAATTGATGGTTTTATGTCCTGAAGCAAAAAATTTGGACCGGTAGCCCTTCACAGGCGTTTGTGGTGCTGCCAACCATTTTTCACATGAAAGTGTCCTCTACAGATCTAGAGAATTGTTTAGTGTTGCGACTATACCACGGGGATTTAACATGACTGACAGAAGAATTAGGGCACAGAGTGAAAACATTGGAAATCCAGGATTTTCTAATACATCGGAAAAACGCATTTACAAGTATTTTAGTAAACTGCGAGAGATGAGTTGGAAACTATTCGTCGAGATCCGATTAAGCTGGAAACCTAGTGTCTTATAGCTCTTTCAACATCCACATAATGTGTTAGACTGGAAAATAGGTGGTGATCACTATGGTTTTACACTTTCCCGAAACTGATGTCCATACTTCACATGAGGCTCTTTTCGACAAGTAGTACGGTATCGCAGTTATAGAATAGGATCTGAGAGCGTTGCCAGCGTGGTGAATGAAGTCAGTAGCGGGTTTTTCGTGTTAACATGAACCGATAGTTCACGAAAATGTATTAAGCGGAAGAAGGGAAGGGAGTGAAGACAGATGCGCTCCAGCTGCCCACCTCAATCCATTGGCTCAACAGTTCGAATACTCCACTACGTATGCCGGCAAAGTGTTCCAAACAGTGGCCACTTTCCTATCCGATGCACAATTCAGATTCAGTACCGCAAACTTAGACTAGTATATGTTCGCAGTTGGAACAACCGTATCCGCTTGTGGAAATCACCCAGATGTACTAAATCACATGTCATGATGAGATTGACTTCCACCCGACGGCAGAAGATGTAGAGTCCTAGTGTCTCGTAGTGATCTTGATACGGTAAACCCCATAAACTGGAAATGAACCACGTAGCTACGTGTTGGACTATGTAGAATATATATGCCACATCCTGGATGTTCAGACGGTGGGAGAGCCGTACTTTAACAATGTTTATATGATGAAAGTGAAGAAGCGAGTGGTAGTATCTCCAGACAAAGTGCAGAGGCCGCGCACAGTATGCGTAGTTCGTTCCGGTATAGTATGTGAGTTGTCCATTGATTTCAAATTCATGTGTGAAATGAGGCGACTGGCAATCGAGGGGGTATCCTTGGCAGTCACCAATCTTCCCCAGACCCAGAAACACTGGTTGGGCTGAGTCGACCGAGATTGTCTCATAAACCACAAATTGGTTAAGGTCTTGCTGAAGTAAGCTGGAGTCGTCAGGAGTGCTAGGCACTCACACAACTTCGGATTGCCCGCAAATAAAGCACACGGCAACCGGAAAAGCTGAGATAGATCGGTAATGTGGATAAGGACCCCAGCACTATCCCCTGGGGTATGCCACTTGCCGAGGGATGCTAGTTGGTTAGATAGTCGTCAGCTTGCGCCTACCAAATTCGTGTAACGAGAAAGTCGCGGACTCACCGGTACAGTGAACCAATGAAAGTGATACGTCGGCCGGGAATCGAATCCGGCCGCCTTTTACTAATGAAGCGCTGATGCATAACGGGCTAAATGGAGTCTTGCATGAAAGACTTCATCCGGAGGCTTTGACCCAGTAATATGACCCACGAAGTAGATGAGGGATGTTAAGCTCTGGAGTTTCACTTAAGTATACGGTTGGGATCACTGCGAAGCTGACCACACACAGCTTCAGTAGTTGTGTGTATGCATGACGACGGTAGAAACATAGTTGGCATATTAGACTTAGCCGAATGTTCCGGTCAAATGACCACGAAAATTTATGATCGCCCAAAAACAATATAAATATTCAAATTAGAAAGACAGAGGCAAAAAAGCACCATTAGGGTGCTAAATTGAGCTGATGCACAAAATAGACCGAAGTAGCAAGTAGAGTCAAGTTCGAAAAGAATAGGCGGAATCAGGAAAGAATGGGGTGAATGAAACATTTTGTTGCCAAAATCATGTAATATCAGGTGTTGGTAAAATGCGGCGACATCTCTCGAGGGTGCATTCCAATACACTCAGGAGATAAAAAAAACCAGAGAAAATAATCAAATTCGTCCTCTGCCTGAAAACGTCATATTAAAGTAGGGAGGAAAATGATTCGTTTGGTCAGCTGATCTTCTGGGTTGGAAAATAGAACCCTCAGATATGCGATTGTGCGTTCCACTCGTCAATCCATTTCTTAATTTGGCCCAAAATTTGCAGTCTCGCATCAATCACATCCTGTGGGTCACGTTCATCCGCGGCACGCAAATCCAAGTGATGTGCTCCACTGGGAATACGGATCACGTAGGCCGACGGAGCGTAATCCGTGTTCAACACACCGAATGCAGACCAAGGGTCCAAATCTCCGTTACTGAAATAGTCAATGAAAAGCGATGAGGTTACGACACAGTAAACAACAGATGTTTATAAAGAAAGTTTGGTAGGGGCGGAACGAAGACAACTTTAAAACTACTCTCTTCTACACAACAGAAAGAATTCAGATAACGCAACGAACCGTAGACTGCACACAGCACAAGCCGTGCGCTGTGAAGCTTAATTTTGACTAGGTATCACAAATCAACAAAACTCTAAGCGAAGTCACCCAATAGATGAACGTGACGTCTTTCCATCCTTGGAGAAATACGCACTTATTCGCAAGGTGGTTTGATCACACGACATGTCTTTCAAGACCACGGTATATCTGTAAAACCGACCTTTGGAAACATCTGCAAGGGGCAAAAGGTTGGCAAGTTGAGTCTGTGCTCCACTGACAACGTAGGCGAAAAGCAGCGTAAACGAAGGAGACAACATATATCATGGTATACCACTTTATTCGGCAGGTATAGTGTAGGAATAATACTGTGGTATGAAGAGAAAGTAAAGGCGAGGACCGTGGCTTTGGGAATGAGTCAGTGTAATATTTCATTCAAAGAGAGCAGTACGCAACTGTTACTGATTTGAGCTCTATGCATCCCGGCATCTACATGACCGAAGTCAGAACGATTGCTCAGGAAACAGAATGACTGAGGTGGACAGATACATGAAGCTAGGACGCGGGATAACATGAGAGGGGAAACATCGACTTGGATAGTCAACGAGCGATGCCCAGCAATCTCATGACACTCAATGGACTCGGAAAGCAGAATGAGATAGCCAATGCAAACAGGATGGGACTTCCTATCAACGGAAAATGGTCTGCCGTTCCCTGTGTCTAATCTAGCAAGTGTGCTAATTGATACCGTAGAAGCGAGGAATACAGATGTTCTATTATCCAAAAATCGTGAGTAGTATGGTCATTTCACACCGGATTAGGGACGTGCGTAATTGCCATAGCATTAAAGCAATTATCTCACTGGGGTTTTGTTGTGCCTTACCTGTGGACTAAGAAGCCTGTTTGAAACCAACTCCATATCGAACTATTCTAAACTCTCACTCAGCCTGTAGACTAACGGTGTACCATGAAGACGTGAGCACATCGGTAGATCAGACAAATGAGGCCCACATTTAACTCTTTCCCTCTCTAATGCCTATTCCTCCAATTTCACCAATAAGGAAGACTTACTGTGTGTCTGCGAAAAGATGGACAAATTAACGAGTACGACAACTAATCTATTCAACCTAGGCACATTAGGTCATTTGAACCCTTCGTTCAATCTCGTCACCATCTGCGACGCTTGTCGCTAGCTTTCACACACATGTATGCGTCGTCGTCCCTACTGTACAGCTGTGAAACCTGGCCGCCTAAAGCAGCGGACCTGAAGAGGCTAGTTACGTTCGACCACCGGTGCCTTCGTAATTTAGCTCACATCTGGTGGGAACACCGTGTGAGCAACGAGCGTGTTCGACGCCTTGTTTACGGCACAGGAAAAGGAACTGAACCGCTCAGCACCGTTATTGCACGAACCAGGCTCTGATGGCTCGGCCACGTGTTACGCATGTCAGCCCACCGACTCCCGCCACGTGCGTAGTTTGCGCTCCGGGGGTGTGGATGGAAGAAGAGGAGGGGTGACCAAGCGATGACTTGGTCGAGAGGAATGAAGGTCCTCACTTCTGAGCTGGCCTCGGTTGAAGCGTCTTGGCTCCCTGGTTGGGGTCCGAAAGACGATGAGCACATTTGGTTAGACACACTTGCTGATATGGCAAGGAGCCGACCTCAGTGGCGTTCGTGCTGTGAGTTTCATTGTCCCACCCCATCCCCCTTAGCCTCCCCCTCCAACCACGATCTCATTATTTAGCTTTATATAATTTCGCATAGTATTTTTTTAATGCACAGTAGCCGGCTGGTAGCTTACCGGAACGATGCCCATCCGTTACCGGTAGCTCAGTCGGCTTGCACCAGTTGCATTCTTTTTCTCTCTCCTTTTTTCTTAGGTGTTCCCCACCTCTAGCTAACGTGTATGATGATGATGCGTCATCGTCCGCAGTTGGGATATAGTTCCGCGCATACTGCTAATCGGGAAAGCACGCCCTTTACTGTGCAAAATCTCTCATGTTAGCCTTCAAACTATTGGCATACAATAATAATATACAGTTTCGTTCACAAAACTCAAGTGCCAATCGTTATCCGCCTCTCCCTATCGGAGACTCAGCTTGAGATATATTCAAAGCCTCGAGAGTGTAACCTGACCCGAAAATTTGCAGGAGTGATGAGAATCACTACATACTGAAGAGAGAGACCAATCAACAAAATTGTAACCACATTTAGCCCTGTCCACAATGTGAACTTGTATTTGCTAAACAATAGCAGTTATATGGTAAAAATAGGAGGACTCAGCGCTGTCAAACTCCGGCCAGATATCCTACCACATATCCGGAAAAAGAGTAGATACCGTCTAGTTCAATTAGAGTGAAGCAAACCGCCTCAACCAGGGACCGAACTGTAGTCGCCAAAATCCGTTGTGGTTTCTGCTGACTGTACGGATAACCTGCTGCTACCGCGCAAGCTGACCGGCAGACTACCCAGAGTAGAAGACAAAGGTCTCAGATGAAAACTGTATTGCGCACTCGGCAAGCAGCATAAGCAAATCAAATAAGAGTATCAAATCAATAGTTAATAAAGGAATGGTGTAGCGGTCACTGGCGGGCTTCAAGGTGGACCATCCTCATTGGAAGCGTTCAAGATGAAGCACCATTAGCCCGTTCTCATTGGTTGGCCAAAAAGCTTCGGTCTACGTCATGGTGCCTTCTACGCTAACACCGCCGCGGAAACTAACGTACGACTTTCTTCTTGGATCCAGCTGCATTCTGATGACGGATCTTCGTACTCGAGCAGCCCGGTGCCACATTTTCCGCTCATGTGGAAGTTCGGTGCGAGGTGCATCCGAAGCTTTCTGAATACTTTATGACAGATCAAAACTGTCCAGGAGAAGACCTAACGGTAGCAGTCGATTACTAGTGCATGCCGGGATGCTAGTTGGTCGCAGCTGATTAGCATGCCTGGTCCAAATAAAAGTAGCCACTCTGAATTTATAGAGTACCCAGTCAAATCTTCTCCGGATCAATTCTATCACCCACTGATGACTTCCCACGCGATAAACTCTGACCAAAACACGTTGTCCTGGGAAAAATGGACGTGCTTAAATTCTGTTTCGCCCCTTGTAGTACCTTTCCATTCGAGGATGCCTTTGTTGTGGGATACTGCGCCTCGAGAGCAGCAAGGAATTTACGGCATGGGGCTTGTGGGGCTGAGCGCTTGTACAGAAAGCTGGTTGATGGGAACATCTGGCCCAAGTAGATTCAAGTTCTCGTGAGTTGTGACAAAACCTTTTCCCCAAGCGGTGAAATCGACAAAGCGGCACTCGCATTCAATCTGACCGATTAAATTCAATTTGGTGCCTGAAGTGCTAGTCGCTTGTTGGCCGGTTGGTTTAATGTCAGGTGCACCAACAGTCTTTCATAGATTTTCCGAGACAACAGTGATGTCGGATGCCGTGTCAATTTACAAAGGTGACAATCTCCAGTTGATACTGATAGTGACAAACTTCCACCTATCCTTAACATTTCGGTGAAGTTCGCGTTTACCATCCTTGTAGACTTGATGTGACCTTGTCTCCGGGCACCGTATGATGGCCTAAACGTTACTTTGGACCTGCAATGGGTCTCTGTGTATCCACCTATATGGCACTTCTGGCAGACAGGTTTGCTGAGAGAGCACCATCTAGTAAAATATCAACCTCCGCAATGCCAGCAAGTTGATGGGGGTTTTGCTTGTAGACTTCTCCTGTGCTCATTTGCTGGGTGTTGCTCCTTGAAACTTGCCGGACAGTAATAGCACAAGTATGCACATTTGAATCCTCCATCATAGCTGTGACGTGCTTTAAATTCATGATCCTCTGGGCTTCAAAAACGACGTTCTGTAAGGTGACACCTGGGTCGTGTTCTAACATCCCAAGTATTCTGGTCCAGATTTCGGCATCTTTGGGGGCCTGCAAACTACATACTAATAGCAGGCACTCGAATTGATCTTCGGTAAACGACTTTAGTTTGAATTTCGGGCATTCACGCTTCACTGTCGCTGCATGAGCAATAAGACTTTCACTGTCTTTATTGCAACTCTTCAAACAAGTGTACCGATAAGTAAAAAGCGATGACTGGTCTCCAAACATTTCTGTGAGCCGGGAAACTGTGTCAACAAAGCTAAACCATGGGCGCTTTGTGGTAAAATGTAGTTGAGATATCTATCATGCTCGACCGTTCCCAATTTTCGTACCAGTGGACGAAATTTTGATGCATCATAGAGACTTGACAACTCTGTCCTGAAAGCACCTTCATAGCGCCTGAACTATGAACAAGGATTTATTATGGGTAAAAAGCAGGTGCTTTACATATCCCGTAGGGTGTTTAGAGTGAGAAAAGATAGATTAAAGGATAATGGAGTCGTCAGTTTGGGCGATTACAGATTTAACTGCACTGTCGTGTAAAGGGAGTTTGAAATGAGAATGTACGCACACAAAGCAGTAAGGGGAGTGGTTATGAATGATCACGCAAAAGGCGAGAAAAAAATAAAAAGATAGCAAGGACAACGCTCACTCGTGTGCAAATATCTTGGGTCGACGGGCTACGGAAATCTAGTTTCTATAGTAGTAGCGTTTATCAAATTTGGTGCAAGAGGTTTGGAGTGACACGTTCTCGAGTAGGGTTATGGCACTATCTACTGTCTGTTGTGCATTAGCGCCAGCATCAAGTGGTCATGGGCTATAGCACGTAGTGTAAATGTGACAGAGTATTGTCAAGGCGTTTTTTGAAAAAGGATAGGGTGACTGCATTAATTACATGTTCCGGGAGGGCGTTCCAAGGCCGTGACACTCGAAGCAACGAATATTAGCCCAGAAGCAGGATCAAAAATGAACTCACCACCGTTACTGATCACTGTGTCCGCTGAAGGCTACCCAGTGTTACGGATGGGTGCAGGCTGAAGAGATCACGTTCGGGTGAGAGTATTAATCATTCGCAGCTGTGCCGCTTCAAATTGATGCTGCTGTTGTGACAGCCTTTAGTACTCCAGATGAGATTGACATCCTGATTTAGTTCACCTCTGTAGCCAAAATCCGTTGTGGTTTCTGCTGACTGTACGGATAACCTGCTGCTACCGCGCAAGCTGACCGGCAGACTACCCAGAGTAGAAGACAAAGGTCTCAGATGAAAACTGTATTGCGCACTCGGCAAGCAGCATAAGCAAATCATATGAGAGTATCAAATCAATAGTTAATAAAGGAATGGCGTAGCGGTCACTGGCGGGCTTCAAGGTGGACCATCCTCATTGGAAGCGTTCAAGATGAAGCACCATTAGCCCGTTCTCATTGGTTGACCAAAAAGCTTCGATCTGTGTCATGGTCACCTGTGCCGGAGGGCTGCAAAGGGGCGCCTTCTCGGTTAACACAAACTAATGACCGCTATGGACACGAGCGATTTGTGTCACTATGTTCAAGTTGTAGGGAATGGTTTCCCCGAACAGTGTCTCATTCTGAAGAATGAATAACGAGTTTTGACCAGCCTCCCATTTACAGCAGCACGTTAAACCGTGTCAGATCCACACGATTATCAAGTAGGTTTAGAATGGAAACAATGGGCGCAACTGAAACGTATGAAGGTAGTTCGAAAACAGTGGATTGCAAACAGACTAACCTGAAGACAACGTTGGAAACGGTGTGAAGATGTTTGCCCCAGAACTGCACATTTGACCAATCCATGCGCGGACGAACTCCGAACCTTTTGTTGCATGACTCAGAAAATGCTTCAGGATCCCAATCGGAAGCGGGAAACATATCTTTCACCCCGTCGGCACACATTGGAGTGGTCATTTCGAGGCATGTCTGGCATAAGAAAGAGAAGCTGAGAAAAAATCGGTATGCAACGAAATGCTAAGTGGCGAAAAGGCATTAACCTGTTTTGTGTTGGTATGCTTTTTAAAGATACTTTAAAAAATGTGATAATTCCAATGGATTAATTAAGACAAACTTGGACTGGCCAAAATGATTGCAAAACGATAAGCATTTGTGTCGTTCCTGAGATTGCAATCAAAAATGATAAGTCTCGCATTGATTAAATGTCTAAAACCACATTTTTAAAATAATGTCCTAAAAACGCGAGCAGAAAATGCGTTATGCACAAAACGTGATATATATATTATATACATATATATATATATATGTATATATGTATATATAGTTGGCGGCATCTGGTTTCGGATTTGCCTGTCACTGTGGCCAGTCACAGGACGCCTGCGCCTACAGAGAGACCATGGGTGGCTTACGCTGCACCACCCACAGCTCCAACTACACACCTCATATCCAGTGTAAACCCGGAGGAATAAGACCGGGAGGCATGTGGATGTGAGCCACGTTTCATCAATGGAGCCGCTCCATACTCCTTCACAGGAAAACACAAACACGCCGTATTTGGGAATCAAGCGCATATATATATATATATATATATATATAAACATGACCAATAAACCGAATACAGTGTGTCCTAACCATAAGCTGAATTAAAGGACCCCACTCTGCGTCTTGGGTCTTAAAGATCTGACTCGGAAGACAGCGGAGCGATAAATGCATTTTCTAGAACGTCCAACCAGCTGCTGAGTACGAAGACCGGTAACAGCCAGGTGGCTCATTCATGCAGAAGCCGGTAATCAGCAAAGTTTTTCATCCGCCCTCCCTTAAGTGTTCACTTCTGGCTACAGTAGTGAGTGGTTAGTGACTTTATAACTAGTCATAATGTCTTTGACACAAGGCCGTACGAGCTCTTGTGGTATTTGTATGAGAATTAGGTGAACAGCCAAAAACTTCTCACAGTTTTAGACGCTGCCGCTGATTGTCCGCGAATGCTTTTTCATCTCGTCTGCAAAGCAAATGGGACTTATTCGGTTACCTCCACAAGGAAGGCATTCCCCAATCCGCAATCAGGCGACGCATCCGATAGTATGCAACTCAGCAAAGGAACACAGCATGGTGCAGACCAGACAGGCATTCATGCCAGAAGCTGCATAATATCCGAGTGCTAATGCAAGATTTAGGTCACATTTCTCTATGGGCACAGAATAGAGCTAAGGAATCTAGTAAAAGAAAGCAAGATATAAGCCAAAAATAGTGTCATATGTGACAACTGTAATACATAAATAAAACAGAATTAATTCCCGAATTTTCGCTTTGTGTGAACAATATAGAGTAAAGATTGAGGCTGCACGACTGATGGTGAAGGGAAGATCAGATCAGCCAGCGAGTGATTGTTTTGGAGAATTTTCAAGTGAACATTAAGGTTAAAAAAACGAAAAGGCAGGGTTATTTAATGTATCAGAACAATCGGCAGTGCGAAGAAGGATTGGTAGCGATAATACCTTGTAAAACTCATTGGAGCAATCGTGTCAAAGTTGGAATAACAGTCGCGAATAGAGGAAAATTGCTGCGTGCGCAGATAATGACAAATGTAACCGTAATGCAAGCCTGTATGAAACTGATTCGTGTTTTCTAATGTTTAAAATTATGGGATCAAGGTTTTATGTAGGTCTGCGATGAAGGTATTGATGCGGCAGCGGGGCAACCAATAAATCAGTCTTACAGCAATCGGAATAAGCTTGGGCTTGATAGAATGGATGTGTGTAGCAATAAGCAAACTTTAGTGTGATAACAAAAGTTAACAGTACACGCTACCTGTGGGGATTTGAGACTAAACCATGAAAAGGATGGGGATACGCATAATAATCTTGTTAGAATTTATTATAACCCCATTGGGCAGTGGGAATGAGAAATGCAGGAAGCAGCAGTAGAACTCGTGATCCGAAGCTGTTGATGTGTTACGTCATATTGTACTACTCATTATTATATAGTAGGTTGAAAGTACTGAAATAACCCGGAAGATCACAGCAGCGATGCTGATGAGAAATGGACGACGAACCTGTAGGTCCCATCCCGCCTCACTCAAAGCTGAAGAGTTGCTCGAAATCGGCACACATGTTACGTCTTTCGTATAATTCACAAGGCTTCGTACGGCAGAAGCTACACGGCGCACGATATCTACATCCGGTTCATCGGGATCGAAGGTGTCCAATGATTTGCACATAAACTGTGAGAAAAAGTAGAGGATAGGAAAAATGCGTATTTTCCATGAAGAATGCTAGTTTACAGACAGTAAACCGATTGAAAAGCCAAGAAAAATCGATGAGCAATGACGTCACAAAAAAATAAAACAAGTAGAGATGTGATTTAAGCAACTTAATCGAGCGATTGCCGCAACCATGAGCCCCGGTAAAATACGACAGCAAACAAATGATTTCAGTGAACAGATGTCTAAGTTAGGTCAGTCTGATAACAACAAATGCGGCAAAGGTACTAGGAAGCGCCAAACGCTGTTTGTAGTTGCATCCAAAATGTGCCCAAAGTGGATGTAGTCCAGACATCTTTTACGTAGTAGTTGACATGCTACAAACTAGTACGGCTGGATCAGAGCCGCGAATGCACAAGTAGACCATCTAAGCGCTACCGAAACCCACCTGATTGGCAGGATGGAACCAATTTTGTGCACGTGGCCAATGAGGAGTGTTTACTGCTGCTTCTAAGAAGCCCTGTTTTCTGGTGCAGTGTGTGGATTTGTTATTAAGTGTTTCTGGTCGAAACTGGGCACATCGCTAGAAGCTGCGGGTAACTTTGCGAAAATCACAGTACCGCTCGATTGTGAACAGGTGCTCTGGTATCCTGCCAATTTTCTTTGAAATTTGATAATAGGAGGATCAAGAAATTCCAGTGATGACAGGGGGCAGAGTGTATGTTGTAGTCCAAGTGAAAATAAGAACACACGTAAACGGTTGGAGTATGACTTCTGTTAACAGGTATGATGTGAGAACCTCTGATTCCTGTGTTATCAAACGTCATACGTCGGAATAGTGCGTATCAGAAAGAGCAGTGAAACCACCGAGACCGAAGGGAAGGGACCTTGCTGTCCCTTGGCGCAGTGTAATTAGAAGAATGATAAGGCGCCTGCGAAAACGAAGCTACGGTGATCAACAACTTCAATAAAACTTTTGATCTAATTCATCACTCCACACACTCAGTCAGTAAGACGTAAACATTTTACACACCCTGTTGAAAGACATATGCCACGGTAGGGTCTACTATGATTTATTGGATGTATTTCAGTTTTGCAATTTCTCCAACGCTATGCGGTTTTACCGCGGAGGTCCTATGGGTTCTGAAAATGTAAATATTGAGGTGTTGCTAGGGGAAAAACCGGCTGATCTGGATTATGCAAGGGACAATGTCTTGCTGCTTGACACAGTTAATGTCAGATGAACCCACCAGTGATCCAATCATTTGCTGTTCGCGCTGTGCTCTCAACGTGCAAAGCGATGTTACGGGGTCACTAGCCATCTGTTGGCCAGTTCAACTACGATAACGAGGAAATAGCGACAGCCGACCAGTTCAGGTATTCTGTCTACTGCATTTGTAGGGGAAGGATATGTGGCTACTGAGATTAGCTCACGTAATGTGGGAGTGAGAACTGGCTTCACGAAGTAATGACATCTTTGATGTTAGGCAGTCTTCGTGGGAAAGCCGTGAGGACCGTTATTCTCTTTACTCAGAATCTGCCTCCTTTGATTCATTCTACAACAGAATTGCCCACCCGGTTAGGAACAATTCAGGCGTTTTCTTTTCTGACAACAGTAATCCTTAGGGCGACGTTCGTGTCGGGCGACGCCAACGCGTCATCAGTGATATAATTTAAAGACGAGAACCGGACGATGAGGAGTAATATCGGGCCATATGGCTTTACAGATTGCGGTGAAACATGACATGCTAATCTCCACAGATGGGAGAATATGGATGGCAATCGACATATCAGTGATGAACATGCACCGTCCCTTAACCGGGTTGATCGTTTACTGCGCGCATGATGCCCAAATGTAAGGCTGAATTTGATGCGGGGTAGCACAAGTCATGGGGGACGTAATTCGTTGATGATGCTTTGGCTTCACACGTTACACAGCTGTTTGTGATCACGCATCACTGGCTAGACACAGGCGCGCAGAGTCTAAATGTTTGATCGGACCATAGCGGTGAGCGAGAGGGCGCCATTCTAATTAGCAGTCATCTCTCATCATGCATCAGTAAGAGGCATGCGCGTGATGCTGCTGTTGATCATGACGACAACGGCAACAGTGGTAATAATTCCGAGAGGTTACCTGTTTCAAATCGGTTTATCCAAAGGAACCTGCACAGACTGGGCACACAACTTGATGGGCTCTTAGTAAATGGAGTCAACACAATCATTCATGGCCACTTCGACGAAAAAAGCAAAAGAGAGAAGAAGTGACAAGTTCTTGAGTGCCACGATTTCAGGTTCACAGGAGTAGAGGCCGTTCGCTAAAGTATCCCATGATAAGCGGTGTAAGAAAAGTCATCGGCAGTACGCCGACACACTGTACTGACGCTTCGCTGCCACGCGACCGCCACCGATTGCACGTGGGCTGAGTATACCACGGGGAGACCCACTTCTAAGCGGATTCCAACCGTTGACCTAAGGATTGCAAGCCGGGCGTGCAACCATTGCGACCACCGGCTACGATAAGCGGTGTGATAAACAAATGCAGTTAAATGAACTGAAGAAAGTATTTAATTTACGAGACACGAACACAATAGATCGTTCGCATATGTGCCGTTGTTGAGGCACCTAGCTAGGTGTAGGCATGTGGTCAGTGTGTCTTCCAGATCAGCAAGAAATCAGTGCGCATCACGCTGACTTCATTTGCGGTCCTACAATCCAATAAAATTGCCGTAATCAATGGACAGTACAGAACAAGAACCGTATGAAGGCCGTGCAGTTTCAGTAAATTTTAACAAGAACCAAATGAAAAAATGGTTAGTGAATAGCGCCTGACGTACGGGATGCAAGTTAAAGAAGTAATGCTTGGAAAAATTCACACCTGAGCTTGCACGATGTATCATGAGCTATCACTCACCGCCACTGGATTGGCAGGCATTGTGCCAATAAAAGAGGCGGGGTATGGGTAATTCACCATCGCCACAGTTCCAAAGTAATCCACCAAGTAGTCGATCAACTGCTGGGCATCGAGAAGCGGATCACAAAGTACGAAAATTGCCCGGAGCAGCTGCAGACCGGATGCTGAGAGAAGCAGAGGATGAAAATAAGCTACAGTGAGGTTCAAGTGTTACATTTCGTGAATATGGTGTTCTCCAAACAGGGAATGCAACAACAGAAGGCTGGAAAGCACATGTGAGCGGTTCAAAGTCGAGGTACAAATGCTATCGGTAGTGGTGATGGTGTTATTGCGTCAGTTGGAGAGATAACTCCTACGCGATGAAGAGGCTAACCAGAAGGAATCAGTTCAAAAGGCCACAACCGCTGTACACACAGTAGCTAACAGCTCTCAGAAAGTTTTGCATCCAGAAATCGCCGCCTTTACCTGGTCTAGCACATAATGAACTAGATATCAGATGCACATCCTACTATGACTGCCTGATGAACGTAGTGGAGAAAAACTGCTGTGAAGTGTCAATGGTAGCGATAACGATGGTGGTCCCAAGCGAATAGTTGAATATCCACAGAGATGACCATCATCGAAGTAAACCCGTGGTACTTGTGAGATTAAGATAAAAGAATGCAGTCTAACAGTTTAAGCAATATGTTTGATTGAGTTTTCATGCCAGATGTTCCCTTCGTAAGTCTCCAAACCGCAAGAAGGAATATTTCAGCAACCCGGATTGATTTACTAATCGTGCTCCATTCGGCCGATTTGATAGTCAGTATAATGCGTAGTATACATCAAAGTAGTGTAGGCGATATGCGTGCACCATTATTGTTCTAGACAGAACAGTAATTGGTCGTCCAATTCTAGCTGGTGCCAACTATGGAGGCTACTCAAGCATTCCGTCTGTTAACACGAAATGAATCTTGATCGCAGCACAACAGTTACACTTGACTGAGAAGCGGAGGCCATGTCGTCTTAAGCTACCCTGAACTGCAGACAAATGAAAGGTTCTTAGTAGTGAAATTTGCATTCAGATGCAGTATTGTGGATATGAGACGTTGCAGTTCGGAAGAAGCTTGTTGAGTTCGCACGAATGCAATGATGCATAATGCGTGTTCTTATCTGGGGGGTGTGACTGGATGGCGACATATAATCCTATGTGCACCGCGGTACACAATAGATTGATCCTTGATCAATTCGAACACTGGAAGGATGGCTAGACCAGATGGAAATTGAGTGTCCCCCGTTCTGTAAGCGCTTCCCGCCGCGACTCTGGGGCTTAGGAGTGGATGTTTCGTTGGACATCCCATAGGACCCGGGTTCAAGTGTCTCATTTAAAATGTGCCTGGTGCTGAGTGACTTGCTGAGTAATCGCTGACTATGACACAGAGTAGCAAAAGTTACAAGGAATCCTCATCGCCGATGCCGCCCTATCTCAGACTAAATACATTCTTGTGAGACTCAAGTTATTTGCCATCTCTCTTCGACCCCACTTGCTAATCGTCATCAACAACAGCAGGGCATCAGCCATTTGAACTGATTCTTCGCTTCCATACAACTATAAGGACCAAAGTAACGAGGAATAATAAGGAGAGAAGGGGGAGTTAATGGAAAACCTTAATGACCTGAACAAACATTCAGGGTCAAGGCACCTACACCATTGTGTCAACAACATACCGTCACAAACAGCTGGCTATGCTGTAACTATAAGGCAGCATCAGCGAGATAGCTTCCTTGCGGCTTTTACTGCCCCGCGTGAACGGACTTCAAGCTCAATGCGCCCATCGTTGGTGATGCAGCTACTGAGGCAAGTGAATCGATCAAACATCCCGAGTTCCTCGTTATCAAGAGTCAAGGGGTCATCAAGTGGCTGATGGTCCTGGAGTAATACTTTGCACTTTGAAGATGGAAAGCACAAAGCAGATGATGAGACCACTCTAGAGAGGCTATTCAGGGTTGAGTGGGTCGCCCCAACATCATCGAAAATAAAGGCAATATCGTCCGCACAATCAAGATCAACTAATCTTTCACCAGGCAATACCTCAACGCCTACATCGTGAGATTCCGTAAGGAAACACTTCATGAAGGATTCCACTACGAAAATGAACAAAAAAGGGGAATCGGAAAACCCTGATGAACGACACTTGTTGTCGAAAGCTATCCGACAGGTCACCATAGACCATGAAGAGGCCTGTAGTGTTCGAGTACAGAGCGGGTAAAACGTTCACATATTTCATGAGAACATCTTTTCGCGTGAGTATATCGAACAGAATGTATCGAACGCATTCTTGAAATCGAGGATCACAGCTATTGTCGGCTTGCGGTATGCGTGGTGCTGCTCTAGTACATGCAGCAAAGTGAATATGTGGTCTATATAACCACTTCCAGGGCAGGAACCTGCTTGCTTTGCCCTAATCTGAGATGCTCGTTCCACAGTGAGGCGACGTTCGAGAATCGAGGCCATTAATTTTGCCACAACTGGCGTTAGGCTAATACCCTTGTGGTTAAAACAGTCTATGTGACTGCTCTTCTTGTACATTGCACAATGATCGATTCACTCCAGTTAGCCGGGACACTACCTTCCTTCCAGATAAGTTCGAATAGGGAGGTCAGTGCTTTGCAAGAGACCACACCTTCATTCTTAAATAGTGCAGGTGGCAGATAATTCGGGCCAGCAGCACGAAAACGATTGAGGGCTGTGGTAGCGTTTCGGACCTCAGCCTCCGGCGGAGCCACTAAACTAACCGCTCATGACTCGTCGTACATCACCAGAGTAGGAAGAGGACCGGGAGCATGTGTCCAACTGAAGTGACCTTGAAAGTGTTTCGCCCAACGAGCCATATGACGCTCCTTATTGTGTATTGGTGAACCCGCACTGTCTCTGATTGTCTCACGGACGCCTGGTTTTCTGGGACCAGTGGTGCGGATTAGCTGGAAGAGTTTGCGGTAAGTGACTACTGCTCCTGCCTCCTCCATTCTTGAGCCCGACTGGTCCACCAGGCTTCCTTGTCAGCACACAAGCTCCGCTTTAGTTCACGCCTAATAGCCCGTCTGGTCACATTGTGCTCAGAACCAGCCGGAAGGTGTCTTCTAGCTTCCAACAAGGTTACGGACCTCTCGGACATCCAGTGACTGGTGCGGTGACGATTGATAGTGCCACAAGCAGATGCTCCTGCGTCGTGTAGGGCGACCGAAATCCTATTCAACTGAAGCTCAGTGTCATTAGGACAAAACAGCGAAAATTCGGGACGCAGTGCGTCTTGATAGGCTTGCCTGACCGACGGCTGAGACAATTTCTCAGTTACCAATCGGAGGAGACGCTTGGTGCGCCTCGCGGTAAAGTTCATGGAGAAACGACAGCGTACCAAGGCCCGTTAAGAGTCGACGCAGGTATTCCAGTACGAGCGGCCATCCAGAACTACGCAACCTGTAACTTATGGCAATGTGGTCAATTTGGGTCCATCACCGGCAGCTACAGGAGGGTGCCAAGTGGCACTTCGGCGCCCATTGTGTCTAAAAGCAGTGCTACCAAGAAACAACTGGTGTTCCGCAAACAGTTGCAGCAAACGCTCGCTGTTGTCAGACCGTTGGGGAGTTAAGCCCAAAATTACCACCTAGCAGAGACGCAGAAGAGCTCAGACGTCTTACTTGTACGTTCATACCCTTGCAAGTACTACAGTATCTGAACTAGATCATCATAGCTATGTCAGCGAAGCACTGCTAGCGGTGATGATGATGATAGATTATGATGAGTTTTACAACCAATAGGTGACTTGTGTAAAAGTTGGGCGAATATATGTACCAGACGAAAACAAGTAGCTGAGTCGCGACAAACTACGCTTTGAGTTGGACATCTTTACGAAAGCTGCACACTCGGTTTCCTCTGGAAATGAGTAGCAGTGCCCAGAGGTCAGTAAACAAATTGGCGACATCGGACGAGTAGGCACCCGCATCGAGCAAGGCTAGAATTGATATGTAACTTAGACCACAAACACATGTTCACTTGTAAAAGCACGATGCAGCCGCAGCGGTTCATCGCCGCTTGGGTCCCGTCAACCATTGTACCGGTCGTCAAGCAACGGAAGTGCTTGCTTATATCCATATAGTGTGTAAACAAATCAGAGTTGGCCGAATAACAGAGGCTTGTTTGCCAGATTTAGGGTGGCGCAAGGCTCGAGGTGGGGCAAAAGTTGAGTTGGCATAGGGAAACGAAGTCATTGACCATAAAACTGTGTGCCATTGGTCCGTCTCGCATTCCAGGTTGGAGTCGACGTGACCCGCCTTGTACTCGGTTCGAGACTTTACAGGACATGGCTCGCAATTGACACCAGTGGTCTGCTGTCGTCACGTAGTCGGGATGTCTGTGAGAAGTGTGTTTGATGCTGAGTTATCTGTGGGCTAATAGCTGATTATGACGTGAGGCAGTAAAAGCCGCAAGAAAGTTCTCACTGACGTCGACTAGTCTTTGCACGATGGCCAGCTGTTTATGACGGTATGTTGTTGACACAACGTGTAGGTGCCTTAACCCTGAATGTTTGTTTGGGGCATTAAGGTTTTCCAGCAAGTCCCCCTTTTCTCCTTATTATTCTTCGTTCCGTTGGTCGGTAAGGTTGCACGGCAACGTAGTATCAGTTCGAACTGTTGATACACTGCTGTTGTTGATGATGATTATCCCTTTTTGGTGTTCCGGATCTTGTTGCGTCATACAAAGTTACGCATTTTGCGATTTGCCGAGGCCGTCGCGATTAGCCGAATTAGACCAGTTTTATGCATTCAAAAGGAACTGGTTGTTAACTTACGGTTTTTGTGGTCCTAATGCCAACAACAATGACCATAACCATGAAGATGATTGACTTGATTATGCCCTATGACACCTACGGAGAGATCTTCCGGTTATTGTATTTGTGCTGGCGGGATGATTCGAAATGCTACTGTTCGTCTTCTCATTGCGTTGTCCAAACTAATGAATGGAATTGACTGTTTTAGATGATTAGTATGGCGAATAGATGGTGAGGACCATATCGCCAGGCTAATAACAACGGATATCATCAAGAGGGAAAAAAAATTCCCCATGTGTACAAGCGGAGTTGTAACATGAGATGGTGAGCTGGAATTCTTGCTCCGTTGATGCGCAGGCCATAAAGTCTCAGCTGAAGGAACGTTCGTAAATACAAGTCATACAACAAACGTGAGCATGTAGTTTCCTTCTGGGATCAAATCGATCGCGCAGAAGGCACATAGGAGTTGGGGTCAGTGAACAAGGCAGTAACTTTGATGCATCAGAGAGAAAAAAGGGCAAAAAGCCACTATAATCCCTGATCAGTAAAACAGCTTCAATGATCCCGAGAATACAAAAAATAACACTTCACTTGGCCCTTTCGGGAAAGTAAACTGATATGGAAAATAAGAGCAATGGGTGATAATAGCAAGCCTGGTCGGTTGAAATACTAAAAGGACAACAGAAGTACGCTGGTACGCAGTACTGATGCTACGCAGGCACGCAACCAGCAACAGTCGCGTGTATGGCTAAAGGAAAATGTGAGGGTCAGCCAGTCAACTACGTAGACTCGAACCTGCGACCTTAGAATCACAAGGCAGGCTTGTGATCCTTAAAGCAAAGGGCCGGCAAGCTTAGATACTAATCGATAGTGCTAGTAACGTACGCAAACATCAAGTAAATAATACACTGATTGTGCATATGCTTACGGCCTTCGGCAACTTTCCGAATGCTTTTCCACACTGCTCGGATGTTCTGTGTGCAATGTTCGCCACCAGAAAGAGCGAAAGCATTCGTTGCGTTCCGATAGAATCCGCCACAGTCAGACATGTTGGGGAACAACCAGACGGGAGCAGATGCTGCAACGGAACTGAATAAAAATAGTTGGATGATTAGAAGCGTCGGTAGAGTACGCGACACGGCAAAGCACGAGTGTGAGTGCAATAAGGAACACGTGTTGGTATGGCTTGTTTTGTGAATACTGGCGGATAGAAAAAACGTGAGGAAATCTATAAAAAGTCCCGGTTTGTTAACAAGTTTAGCAAATTCGCCCAATACATAGAGATTTAAGAGTTATGACATATGTTCATAGCTGAAGCGTGATTCAGGTTCTTCTCCAACAAATTCCAGGAAACGAAGGACCCTACTGTGAACGGTTCATACTACAGCGTGTGTTCGAATCCTGCAGGAACATATAATGCAGGTCATAGAACCATCGGAAGCCCACACACGGTTGCAATAACAGCGTCCGGCACTACGACTGTTGTCGAATCGCTGGTGCAGAGTAAGCGCCAGAGGCATTCAGCTCCGAAAGGAAAGAGTAGAGAGCTCCGAAAATGCAGTCAATAAAACAAAAAACAAGGTGAATTACAACAATAATAAGGAATTATGCAGCTCGTGGGGTCATTCTGTCAAGCATGGGCAAGATGTACAACGCTGTAGCGCAGGTAGTGATATATAAGATAGCACCAGCCAATAACATAGACATGGAGGCATGTAAAAAATTGGAGTGTAGGAAATAAGTAAAAAAAATTACGGAGGTAAACGGATAGGAAAAGGAGCCGCTTTTGTGTGTTTTCCCATAACAATCTGTTCTGCTTTTGTCAATCAAATGATTGCGTTGTTGAACACTCGGATCGAGAGGTTTTGGAGCTTCCAACAAACTAGCGACAGTGCGCACAGAAGAATAAAGACACCATTGCGCTGATGATAGTTGAGTGGGGAGAGGAGAAATTGAGTGCATGGCACCCGGAAACCGCAAGGCGATGCACATGGTCACAACTGGTAGAACCGAGTGAGCATCCATGAATAGGCGTCCTACTGCAGCATTGGACTGCACGCTGAACTCGCCCATCAACAACAGCAAGAAAGTAGTACTATGCAGAGATCGTTCGCTGCCATACAACAAGGATAAACCTACCAGTAAAGAATGATAAGCGTAGTTTTCATACCCAAAACAATCGGGATGAAGTCGTATAAAAATCAGCAACACGACAGGGCCACGAATGGCTTGCCATTAGGAGATAAGGCAATATCGGTGAGACAACTTTTTCACATTTCTCTCTCTCTCTCTCTCTCTCTCTCTATATATATATATATATATATATATATATATATATATATATATATGCCCCAGGATGAGGCTGACGTTGGATTCTTGGTGCTTATTCACCGCAATTGGGCTAAACCACCTTACACTTAAACTAGGTCTTTTTAAGTTGGATGAATTTCATTCCACTTTAGTTCGTTTGTTCTTCCTACCTGAATAATCTTCTACTAACTGGCCACGTTGATAACGCTAATTGCGCTTGTCTTCAATAACTTTGTTGCGTTGGTAACATATTTAAGTAACTAGTACACATTTCTTACATATCGCAGATGGGTTGCTAACCAACTTACTTCATATGCTAATTTAGCGAAAAGTTATGTCACCGCATCTATATGCATTAGTGGATTTATCTTATTTCATTTGGTCGTTTCAAATGATTGGCTGTGCTTGATATCCCCGGTGTGGCTGTGCTTGATGTGCATGTTGACAAGGTGCCTACCTGTCTATTACCCACTACCTCGTCCATACTAGCTCTAGAAGACAGTTGGCCGTTGCTGGAGGGGACAGGGTGCACGGTCCCTGTGGCCGTGTTAGGATCAAAGAGTGGTTCCATGCACTCAGTGTGGAGCGGACTACGGTCCAGCCACCGCCTTGTATGCGCTTGATTCCCAAATACAGGGTGCTTGTGTTTGCCAGTGAAAGAGTTTGGGCCGGCTCTGTTGATGAAACGCGGCTCCCATCCACATGCCTCCCGGTCTTATTCCTTCGGGTTTACACTATATATGGGATGTGTGGTTAGACATGTGGGTGGTGCAGCGTAAGCCACCCACGGTCTCTCTGTAGGCGCAGGCGTCCTGTGGCTGGCCGCAACGACAGGCAAATCCGAAACCGGATGCCGCCAACAATATATATATATATATATATATATATATATATATATATATATATAGCACAATCTGTGTACAGATATTGCACCATCCGGACCATGGCAGAATAGGAAAACAGGGTTAAAGAAGAAAGAAAACAAACAATTTTTTGTCCATTGTTCGATTCAAAGTTTGAATGTTTTTCATGTCTTTTCATTGGGGGAGGAAAGGAGAATCACTGCAACTAGCGGAGATACACGCCCGCCACTTGGTTCCGTTTCGAGCCATGACTTCCAACGTTTGCAACCAACTGCACTCAGCATCCTCGGGACCCCATGCAGGGAGTCGGGAGGAACCAACCGTGGCCAGCTGTGGTGTCAGCATTTTCATCCTGCTTCTCCAAATTGTAGGCTGTCCACCACACCGCCTCCTCCAACCCTGTCCAGCGACCGCGAACAAGGCACGAGGCGGAAGACGCTGAACGGGCATACGCAGTACGTGTCCGAGCCATCGTAGTTGGCGCAGCGAGACAAGCACCTCGAGGAAGTGGCTGTTTCTACCCAAGACACGCTGTCTGACTTCAGCGTTGGTTACGTGGTTCAAACATTTCTCATTAAATAACAAGCATATCAGCTTCATGCGTGTCTCATAGGTAGGCAGGCAAAAATAGGTGCATCAGTGGTAACGACTGCGTAACGTGCTCTAAGGCCTCGAGGTAGGTACAAGGGCCGTCGAGTGGACCCTTGTCTATGGCACGCGAGGCGGAATAACAGAACCCAGTTTAATCCTCGTGACGCAGTTGGCTGTTGAAAGGTTAAAAATTGCCATCATCCAATCTCGCGCAATGCTACATTCAGTAAGCAAAACAAAGCTCACATCGATAAGCAACAAGCAGGTGAAAATAGCAAGGGTAGAAGTCAACGTGTATTGTTTGATTGTAATTATTAGTCGAAACGAACTACTTGTAGCGATACCGCCTAGTAGTGCAGTCCGCAATTCATCGCTATGCAAACGACACCGCTCCATGGGAAGCACCGGATAAAGCATTCCAGGTACTGTATGTCCTCAAATCAAAGGGGCGAAGTTTAATTTCCAAAGTTTTAGAATACAAAAAGATTTGTATCCTAAAACGTTGGAAATGATGTTATCCCAGTCGGTTCCAAGTTTATTCCGAGGTATTGAATTGGGCCAAGTTTAAATCCCATAGACTGGTACGTCTCGCACCGCATTCTTTAAACCCCCTTCTGGCATCACAGACGGATAAATGAAGACGGTCCTGGTTTTCGAAACAAATGAGGCAACTTCAGAAGTCACGCGACGAGCTGTGTTGGCGTGGCCTTTAGACAGCTAACTCGGTCAACTGAATCGTTTTTCATCGTCTCCGGTACGCCATGCATGCAGACCGCACTCTGGAAAGCGTTTAGTTGACGGAGACCATGGTGTAGCTAATCGATGACATATCGTGGGGACACGACCGAAAGACCGAACCGAACCGTCACAGGATCGATGGTCCGAAAACGCATCCGATAAAGCTGGTTAGTGAAGCCCAGGCGCTATTGCGTTTGGTCTCCTGTTTGATAACAACAGCTTATTGATAACCACTCTACGAGATGGTTGTTTGAAAATTTTACCACGACTTTTTTCGGGCATGTTTTTTCCACCAATTATGTTGTATTCATATGTATAATGAGACAAACCATGGAAACTTGATTCTCTGCACTTCGAGGCTTATATCACGGATACTCAACTGAACTGTGTGAATTTAATGGGTTCTTATTCGGGGACAAGGAGGATGAGACGAAAATAGTGTTATCAGTTGCGCGAAAGTGGCGTGATGGACCACATGGTTCTAATTACAAGACATCCGGTGAAACAGTGTATCCAGAGCGGTAGCGATGAAAGATTTCAGATTAACCGCTTGGCGGAAATGTACGTATAAGAACGCATGCATGGTCTCTGGTTCAAGCATAACGGATTTGCCGTAGTAACTTTAAGAGCTGGTTGATGCCAGAATTGTCAGTGATGATGTTTTCTGTCCTAGTACAGGTGTTACCAACCGCCAGTGACCAGCAGGAAGCTCAAATTAGGATGAAATACACATTGACACGTAACAGCGTAACGTTTTTATTCACCACATTATCACCATCATCACACACGCTAGCTAGAGGTGGGGAACACCTCAGCTACTGTGCCGCAAAACATAGAAAAAGGAGAAAAAGCAACTGGTGCAAGCCGGCTGACCTACCGGTAACGGATGGGCATCGTCCCTGTAAGCCATCAGCCGGCTGCTGTGCATCAAAAAAATTACTATGCAAAATTATATAAGGCTAAATAATGAGATCGTGGTTGGAGGGGGAGGCTAAGAGGGGTGGGGAGGGACAAAGAAACTCACAGCACGAACGCCACTGAGGTCGGCTCCTTGCCATATCAGCAAGTGTGTCCAACCAAACGTGTTCATCGTCTTTCGGACCCCAACCAGGGGGCCGAGACGCTCCAACCGAGGCCAGCTCAAAAGTGAGGACCTTCATTCTTCTTGACCAAGCCATCGCTTGGCCACCCCTCCTCTTCTTCCATCCACACCCCCGGAGCGCAAACAACGCACGTCGCGGGAGTCGGTGGGCTGGCATGCGTAACACGTGGTCCAGCCATCGGAGCCTGGTGCGTGAAATAACGGTGCTGAGCGGTTCATTTCCTTTTCCTGTGCCATAAACAAGGTGTCGAACACGCTCGTTGCTCACGCGGTGTTCCCACCAGATGTGAGCTAAATTACGAAGGCACCGGTGGTCTAGTACAGGTGTTACCAACCGCCAGTGACCAGCAGGAAGCTCAAATGAGGATGAAATACATATTGACACGTAACAGCGTAACGTCGTTGAGGTATTGGGATTTCGAACCGTTTTACCACTCTTGTTAGACCAGATAAACGGTATTTAGCTGTTATGGCCGATTTTCCAC